GGGTCCAACCTTTCCCCAGATACTCCTAGTGGTTGCCTTTGCTCCTTTCAATTTGGGCTCTGGTGATGTCTGCAAAACAGATCTTACAAAGTCCATCTTGCTTTCCTTTCTCTTGCAACTCGAAGTCATCAGGGCCCTTCTGGACCCGTGAAGGGGAGGGCAGGCCCTGATCAGCCCCAGCCTGCATCTACAGAGTGGGCCTGTCTGTCTGCACAGACGGGAAACCGAGGCTTGAGCAGGGACGGAGCTGGCTCAGGATTCCTGGTCCAGGTGGTGGGTGCAGGCTGGGTGAGGTGGGTACTCCAGGTGTCCCAGCAGTTGCCTGGGACATAATAGTAATTCCCGGCCTAGGGGCAGCTATAGATTTCTAGAAGTGTGCCTTCCCAATGCCTGTTTCCCTGTCTGTCACAGTGAGATCAGGGATACACAGGTGCTTCACGGATTCACGTGGGTAGCTGTCCCGGATACCTCTTCATGCCTGTTTGCCTGGGCCAGCCCTGGCAGAGACCTCTTGGTTCACACATGGTCCAGGGAGTTGAGCGACTAATAGGGCTGATTTGTATTACGGATCTTTGCCAATAGGTGCTACTGCCGTCCGCTTCTGGATTTTCTAAGCTTTTGTTTTCAAGTTCAATGAGGTGGTTTTAGTCTCAATTTTGTGACTGGCGAGGGTTTCCAAGGGATTAGATGAGGCTTGTTTGCCGGTGGAGTCAGACAGGGCACAGTGGCAGGCAGGCCCCCACCCCGCCTTGAAAGTGGAATCCCAGGTCCCCTTCCTTCCAAGAAGGGGAAGCGAGGGAGGAAGTGCCCAGCAGGCTGGGGGCTTCCAGGTGGAACTGGTAAATGCTCTCAGAGGAGGGGGTCTGGCAGGGATGCAGAGCTTCTCATGTTCCTGCAGGACCACCCCGCCTCGAGGGTGCCCAGCATCTTCATGCATGAGGCCCTGGATGAGAGCTTGGGCTTTGGCTGGAGTCGGGCCTACTGGTTGGTAGTGGTGCCCTAAAGCCTGACAGTGCATGTCCCCTGAGACTCAGTTTGCCCAGGCGACCAATGTAGATGAGAGGACTTGGGGATGAGGCATGCACAGCAGTTCTTCCTGCCCTGGGCCCAGTGCTCAGGGAACACTCAGGACACAAGTGTTCCTGCTCTGAGGGTCAGGGAGTTGAAGTCACTCTGGGGCTGTTGAGAGGTTGCATGGCTGTTGAAGGGTGCGACCAGAGTGTGTGGACAACCTGGGGTGTGTGTGGCTGACCTGGAGGAGGGACGTAGACGGAGGCCCTCCATTGTGCCCACGGCCCTTCTCGACTTCTCAGAAGCCGTGTGATGGCTGTGGGCCGGGTTGGGAAGGCAGCCCAAGAGACCCTCTGCAGATGGGAAGGCTGAAGCCCAGAGAGGGACGTGGCTTGCCCTGGGCATCCTGCCGGGTCCAGCAGTAGCTGCTTGCTCAGGCCCACGGGCAGTGGATTCACCACCTGAGAGCCTCCGCTGGGGGTGCTTCTGCTTGCCGAGCCCTCCCGGTGGGGTGGGAGGGCTAATGAGCGCTTGTTGGGGCTTTGAAATCCCTGAGATGAAAGACTGGTGTGTGGGAGGTCCCAGCCCCTCCACACAGTCTCTGTGGGCTGCCCGACTCCAGGCCTGGCACACAGTTGGGCCCCCTCCACGAGGCCCACCTGGCAGCTCCCTGTCCCCAGCCACAAGTCTGGGCACACAGGGAGTGTGCACCTCTCTGGGGCCCTAGGAGTCAGGGGTTCCTTGGGGTCTGGTGTTGCGACTACTGCTGCTGGGGTCCCTGCGCAGGCCAGGCATTGTGGTCTGAGGGTTAAGCCATAGACTTGGGAGTGGGTGGCCTCTGGTGCTGGCCGTGCCTTGCCAGGGCAGGTGTAAGATCACAGGTCCTCATTCCCCTGCTGTGAAATGGGGTGATACAATACCCCTGCCTCCCTCTTCACTCTGGGCATTTGTCTGCACCCGGAACTTGGTGAAGGGCTGGCTCTCCTGGCGATTGGCATTCTGGATGGACAGACCTGGGGTGTTGAGGGTTCGAGTGGCAGCCATTTGGCCGCCTCGCCCAGATAGGGATCCCAGAGCATGCTGACGGGTCTGTCAGCATCTCGTCCTGCATGTGCCTGGGGCCTAGCCTGAGCCCGAAGGCTGAACCAGGTGGTAGTGGGGTTGGGGGGGG